GAGTGTTTACACCATGGAAATTGGCAAGGGCCACAAATCACTTAACACACCCCTGCCCTGGAGTCTAATGCAGAGAGAATTCAGGCATCTAAGACTTTTGGTAGGCCCCCTTGTCTGAGGCTGAAAATTTCAGGCTTCTTCTCTTCATGGCTTGGTCTTTCTGATGACCACACCCTGTCCAGGAGCCCACCCAGAGTCACCTCACTGAAACAAGAAACATTCCTAGTGTTCTTATCACTTAAGCATTTACAAGGGTTTTAGGAGTTCCGTGGTACCAAGGAGGAAGGCAGAGACCAGTGTATGCCTTTTTAGTTCTCTCACACTTAGTGCATTAGCAATGAGAGCTGCGGAGAAAAGAGAAGTCAGGGCTGGGCAAGGGAGACTGGGAGTGGTAGGTAGGAGGGTGGGAGGCAGGTTGCAGTGTTACTAGACTGGTGAGACTGGTAGAGAGTGAGATTGGAACAAAGAGAGAAAGGAGTGAGGAAGTGAGGCAGGGCTGTGGTAGCAAATTCTGGGACTGGCAAGGAGGCCTGCATGAGGAAGGAGAGAGATATAGGACCCGAGTTCAAGTTTTGTTAAGCCTCAGGACAACTTCAGTAGTTCTGTATCGTTCTTGTTTAACGGGAGAAAAACGGCAGAGAGGTTCAGTAACGTGGCCGTGGTAACACAGCTAACGAAAATAGTCATCACACTTGGGTGGTCTGACTCCAGAGTGATGTTTGACACAGCCCTTCCCTCTGACCCAGAGTGGTTAGTGGGATATCTGGATCACCCTCGGCTTGAATCCGGGCTCTGCCAGTTCCCAGCCTTATATGACCTTGGGCAAGTAATCCCTACTTCTCTGTGCTTCATTTTCCTCGTCTGGAAATGGCACTAATGAGAGTACCTGCCCCAGCAAGTTAGGAGCGAGGATTAAATGATGATCTTCGCAAAAGTGCCCTGTATTTATTCATCTTAGTATTAATCTTAGGATTGCTACTCTTGCTTATTACTGCTTTTCTCTCTCTCTCTCTCTCTCTCTCTCTCTCTCTGTCTGTCTCTCTCTCTCTCTTTTAATGTTTATTTTTTAAGAGAGACTGAGGGAGGCGCAGAATCCAAAGCAGGCTCTATCTAGGCTCTGAGCTGTTAGCACAGAGCCCAATGCGGGGCTTGAACCCACGAGCAGTGAGATCATGGCCTGGACCAAAGTTGGTTCTTTAACTGACGGATCTCCCCCAGGTGCCCTGCTTTTCTCTTTTAAAGAGAGAAGCATAATAACCAAACATTCTTCTGGCTAGGTTCCCTTAAACAGTACAAGGTCATCTTCTGACTTGCATTTTGTAATTTTTTTTTTAAGTTTTTTTTATTTGTTGAGGCGGGGGAGAGAATGATCTGGAGAGGGGGACATAGGATCCAAAGCAGGCTCTGTGCTGACAGCAGAAAGCCCAGTGTAGGGCTTGAAGTCTTAAACCATGAGATCATGCATGACCTGAGCTGAAGTGAGACACTTAACTGGCTGAGCCACCCAGGCTCCCCAATGACTTGGATTTTGAATCAAAACATGACCATTTTCAAACTTGAAACTTAATTATGGCCTTGGTTTCATTTATCTTCCCTAACCCCACCCTCAAGGGAGAAAAAAAAAAAGAACATCTGTAGAGAGAAACATTCCTATTTCCGTCTTCCAGACCGTATGCTGCTATTCCTTTGTCATAGAAAAAAAAAAAAAAAAAAACAATTTGTGACGTATCCACTATTGTTGGCACTGGGGTGTGATGATGGTATTTCTTCAGGTGTGCTGAAGCATTTAGGCGTGAACTTCTATCATGTCTGTTACTTTGAAATGATTTCAGAAAAAAAGGAAAATGTTAACACTTGGTAAAAAGTAATCAGGTGTTCATTTTATTGTTCTTTTTCCTAGATTTCAAATTTTTCAAAATGGAAATTATACTCCCATTTCTGCCTTTTCTAGACCCTGGCCTTCTCCAAAAGACAAGTTTAGAGGGCTTGGAATGACTGCTATTAGAAATGTTTCTCTGTAAGATGATTTTGGCATAAAATGGTTACATTCCACTCCCAATTTCAGCATGCAAGGAAGCATTCTGGACTGGTTATTGATTCAGTCAACAAGAATTTCTTGAGCACTGCTCTGTGCCAGGCATGTTATTAGCTCCCAGAACAGTGAATGCAACAGTCAAAGTGCTTGTTCTCATGGAGCCCAAGTTAAGGTGAAGGAGATTGTTCCTACATAAACATAAACAAGCCGTTTTCAGGAGGCAGCTTGTGCTATGAAGGAAATGGGGCAATAGAATGGTGTAGACTCTAGTAGAGAGTAGTTGTCCTGTGGAAATGTAATGCAAGACATACAGTTTTCAATTTTCCAGCAGCAACATTGGAAAAATAAAAAAAAAAAAATCATTACAGTTAATTTTAGCATATTTTATTTAACTTAATATATTCTAAGCATCAACTTGTAATCAATATAAACAATTACCAATGAGATATTTTGTATTCTTTTCATACTAAGTCTTTGAAATCTGTGTTTTTTATACATGCAGTGCACCTCAATTCAGATACATAATTTACATTATTTGATCTGTATTTAAATTTCATAAAACTTACCATTGGAAAAGTAGATTCACACAGCCAGTTTCAAACATCCTTCAAAGTTTTACAGTAAATTGAAGATTAGTTTTTAATTTTATTTTTAATTTTTTTATTGTTATTTTTTAATGTTTATTTTATTTTATTTATTTTTTTTTTTTTAAATTTT